CCATAGATATAGAAGTAGAATCTTCTTCTATATCTATGGTGCAATCCACGCAGTGCAAATTCCTATGTATATGTATGTATGTATGTATGAGTCTTCTAATGAAAATCACTCCTGAAAAGTTCTTAAGAAGAAATTCAAATAGGACTGGGTCAGATAACGTCATGAACAAATTAGAGAGTGATGCAAACAAGCAATATGTCCGGTCTCTGGGTGTCATCTTTGCTACTGCTATTGGACCTCTTATCAATACATTGTTTGACAACTGGTTGACATGCTTTACAATAGAAGCTGATTGCATTATAATGTTGAAGCATTGTCCATACTTTGTTACTTATTTTACCACATGCCAGACACAGCCATGTGTTGCAGCATTCACACTCAACCAGTAGCTCTACTTCTACACAGCATTCATCACAGACAAGCATTTCCTCAGATGATTCATCACCTGTATTACCTTTGCTCATCTTCTTCTTAGATTTGCTGGTGTGAGATTGTGATCCACTTACACTAGCCCTGGTTGACGACTGGGAGCCGCCGTATTGCCTGTTTGCATCACTCTCTAATTTGTTCATGACGTTATCTGACCCAGTCCTATTTGAATTTCTTCTTAAGAACTTTTCAGGAGTGATTTTCTTTAGAAGACTCATACATACATACATATACATAGGAATTTGCACTGCGTGGATTGCACCATAGATATATAGAAGAAGATTCTACTTCTATATCTATGATTGCACAAATATGCCGAAGTGTTGTGAAATAGCCGTTCAATTCTGCACCAGGGGGCGGCACTATAGAATATTTCGTCAGGGTCACGCCGCAAAGCGTAATTTTAGTAAATTCTTGTATGGAGGATTTACGTTTGTCCTTCTGAAATGCTCTGCGTTGTAAAAACGTGTTCCTGACAGTGTGCAAGCATGCCGCACTTGGCTCTGGGTAGGCACGTATACTTGAACGTTGCGGATCTGTGGCAGCACTACAGCAGAAGTAGAAGCAGCCATTCGCAAGAAAAATCTGGGAACAGTCGCAGCTCTGGCGGTGATAGTGGCACTATTGCTGGTAGTGGCACCGGCAGCGGGAGTGGAACTGATAGTTCACGTTCGGGAGTTGGAGACGCATCAACGATGGGTGAGACACAGTCGGCGCTGCCTGGAGATGGCAACATTACGTCGGCTCACAGCCCGACGAAGAAACATCCGATAACGAACGACTACAAACTATCGAGGAAAGTTTTAGGTGTTGGAATCAACGGCAAGGTGTTGAAGTGTACCTCGAAAGCAACCGGAAAACAGTTTGCGTTAAAGGTAGGTATACACAAGCAGGCGTCCTGTTCCGCTGTTTTGTATTTACCAAGTTCGTAATGTAGTTTTAAATGTTTGTATATGTTTATACCAGTGACATACTATTCTACGTGTTAAACGTCAACTAGGGTCAAGTCAACATTAGTTATAGTATTAGTATTACTATTAGTATTAGTTACCGTTGGTGGGGTTAGGATTCGATGAGATCCAAGGATTCATTTACAAGTCACCTCGCTTCTCACACAGGCGTCTAAACAGAGGAATTGCTCAACATTAGCTTAAAGAACATCAGTACAAGCTTGGCGCAACTGACGGCCCAAGGATAGAGAACATGGGTCCCAATAAAACCAATGTGCCTAACCCTAACCCTAA